GCGCGCATGCCACGAGGTGTTCCGGGAGGGACGCCGTGGAGGATCGATCTAACTTTCTTACATCGGGCCTCGGCGAAGGAGGGAGGAGGAGGACAATCATGCACTAGAGACCTGCGGCGGTGAGAGGGAGGAGGAAGAGGAGGAGGAGGAGGTCGAGGACTACGGGACAGGTCGTAGTGTTCTCTGGGCTCTGTTTGAGGCCCCCCTCGTGCAGGTGGGTGGGTGTCTCTGGGGATTCTCGGGGACCTTTGTGGAGGGTCTCATTTGATCATTTTTGAGGCCTCCTGGAGCTTCTGGGGGCATCTTCGGGGCCTCCCCCGGCGGCCCAGGTGGCGGCCTCGTGGCGCTTTGTCGAGGCTCCCGGGAGGGGCTGGGGGCCCTCCTTTTTCTGAGGGGCCTCTTGGAGCCAGTTGGGGGTGGGGGGGAGGCATCTTCTTGGGGGGGGCTCTCCCAGGGCCTCTGCGGGTTCCCCCTCCTGGGCCTCGAGTCGGCCTCTCTTGTGGCCACGCTTGGGTTTTGTTGGCCGTCTCAGGGGCCTGCTGTGCCGTCTGAGGGGCCTTCCTTGGCCGTGTCCGGGCCGTCGTGATGGCCTTTGGGGTCGGCATGAGCAGTGCGGGGGGCATCTTGGGCCGTCTCGAGCGCGCAGACGCCAGAGAACGGAGAGCGCGAAAATCATGCAGAAACGGATGGGGAACCAATGTGTTGTGTGTTGTGCCTCTTGAGGCCTTCTGGGGGACCCTATTCGGGTTTCCTTTCCGCGTCTTCGGCAGCCTTGCGACTATTTTGGGTGCTCTTGAGGCCTCTCTGAGACATTATGAGAGTACAGTCGGGGCCCTGAAGAAGGAACCCTTTTCGTTGGGGAGGGGCTCCGTGTTCCTTGATTGCTTCACAGTTTGCCTTGGGTTTCTTTTGGTTTTCGATGGGAAATCGAAGTTCAACTTGTGGATAGAAGGGACCTCGTTCCTTATTTAGGGTTCCTTGGGTCAACGCTCCGACTGTATTGGAGCTCTTCTGGAACCATCTTCGGAAGCATCTCGGGATTTGGGCGGCCCCAGAAGGCGGATGTGCAGGCTCTGGAGGCCCCCGGGGTGCGTTTGGGAGCCCGGGGACCCCCTTACCCTCAAGCGCGAGTTTGAGTCCTGGGGGAGGGGGGAAAGGGGGGCTTGGCATCGCTCGGACGTGTGCATTTTTCTTTCGGCGAGGACCATCGAGGAGCATCCTTGATCTAAAAAAAAAAAAAAAACGAAACCGAAAAATGCACAGAGATTGGACGTCCGAGCGATGGCCAGGGGGAAGGGGACAGCCAGATGTGCCACACGCCTCTTCGCCCACGGCGAGCGGGGGTCGGCGGATTAGTGTGAGAGACTGGGCCGGGAGGTGCGACCGACTATTTCAGCCGAGACGAGGCGCCCAGGGGCAGAGACGTGGGACAGCATGTGCACGGGCAGAGTGGTGGAGAGTGCATGCTGGAGGGAAAGGTCGACGGAATGTTGCGGGAGAGACCGAGGTGAGGGAAGGAAGGGGGGGCAGAACGAGCTGTTTGAGGACGCAGCGGTGCGGCGCCACGAGGCAGGAAGCGAGAGGTGACCAAGTAAGAGCACGAGAGTTCGGGGAAATTGACGCGAAGGTTACAACAATAGGCCAAAAATAGTCTGGGAAGGATTTGTGAAGCATGTCTGCCAATGTTTGAACATGTTTTGGCTACTTAAAAAAAAATCTCGTCCAGAGTCCGCCTGTAGGGGGACACGCCCGAGCTGGCGAGCATGGCGGAGTGCAGAGCGAAAGAGTTGGGCGCCGCGTAATGGGGGGGTCATAAATGGGGGGGTGGCAAGGGTGGTTCGAAAAGGTACCCAAACGGTACCTAAACGAGCCCCCTGGGCCGGTGGAGGGGCCCGAAAGGGGCACGAAAGGGGATCTTTTCTGACCCCCCCATTTGTGACCCCCCCACTAAGCCATGCCCAAAAGAGGCGGGACGCAGCTTGAGAGGCTCGGGGGCAGGCCGCCTGCGAGGCGACGACTCGGCTGGCCACCGAGCAGCGGGCTCTGACCCCCGACGTAATGATTTTTTCATTACGTCGACCCCCATAGGTCCCGACCCGTTCCCCATGACCGGCTTTGCATCCTGAGTCGTTTTTTGACGCTCCCGAGGCCCGGTGAGGGCCCCCGGAAGCCGAAAATTAGGAAAAACCTTCCGTCATCATTTTTTCATTACTCGAGGGGGTCTGGGGGCTCTGCAGGGGCGGCTCCTGCGCCTCCGGGTGCTCCCCGTGGTGCCCCGCGCGCCTCCGCGGGCGGGTGCTGCAGCGGCTTCTTTTGCGCCCGCCGGCCCCGCGGGCCGGCGCGCCCCGCGGCGGGCGCTGCAGGGCACCACCATCCGCCACCCCACCCCCAACCCAGCCCGAAGGCCTCGATGTTTGCCCTCCATTTCCAGGTGGTGGTGGGGGGGGGGCGGGGAGCCTTGGAAAACACACACGGACCCCGTACCCCCCCCCCCAACCCGCCTCCCTCCCTTCCTCCCTCACTCCCTCCCACCATCCCTCCCTCTCTCCCTCCCTCCCTCCCTCCGTCCCTCCCTCCCTCCCTCCCTCTCTCCCTCCCTCGGGTCAGATGCGGGTCTTCGGATTGGGTTGGGGCGGTCTGGTCGGTGGTCAGCGAGGGGGCCACGCATCGAAAAGCTGCCAGCGCCGGAGCAGAGGGTCCGGCGGCGTGCTCCTCCATCCCTGGGGCCCCTGGGCTCTCTCGCCCCTCCTCCCTGGAGCCCAGCCTGGGCCCCTCGTCGTGAGTCGACGGTCGCTTGTTTCAAGGCGCCGGGGATCTTTTTAGGGGGCCACACGCGAACCTTACCCCTGCCCCGAACGATTTCTGAGGGGGAGGGTGGGGTTCCCTTCTCCTTCGGGAGCTCCCGAGCGAAGCGAACCCCGCCCTCGCCCTCAGAAATCGTGTGGGGTAACTAGGGGTAGGGTTCGCGTGTGGCCCCCTACTTTTTGGATCTGCGGGGCCGGGCCCGCCACGCGCCGCCCCCGCGGCCAGGCCGATTTTGACGACATGGCGCCCAAGATCGAGGACCAGCGGGGGGGGCGAGGCGCGGCGGGCGCGCGGGCGCTAATTCGGCGAGGAGGAGGAGGAGGAGGAGGAGGAGGAGGAGGAGGAGGAGGAGGAGGAGGAGGGGGGGCACATGGCACCACCGGCCTCGCGCCGCCGGGGCTCGAGGAGGGCAAGGATCGAGGACTGAGCGTGTCGGATGTCCAGGGGGGGTGGTGAGGGGCGTGGATGTCGAGGCCCGCGTCGTCTTTGCCTCGGGGGCAACGATCGGGGGGGATAGGCATAGGGGGGGATGCATCGACCCCCAATCGCCGAGTGATCGCCGATAGGGACCCGATAGCCCCACCCCGCCCAGGAAGGTGCGGACTCGCGATCGGGGGCCTATCGCCGATCTATCGACGATGTATCGCCGATCCCAGGTCGATGCATCCCTCCCTACGCCTTCCCCCCCCTCCCCGCCTTCCCCCTGCGCGTCGGGCCTCCTTGACCCGCGCTCCCCACCCTGCACTGTCAGCCCCTGTCCCGCCTTCCGTCGCTCCCACCGATCGCTCGTCGTTCTCGCCTTCCCCCTCGTCACGAGCTGGTGCGAAGGATGAGCGACAGAAGCAGGATTAAGTCGGGCTTGTCCCTCTACAAGAGGAAAATTCAAAAATAGTCAAAAGATAGTCGGGAGACGTTCTTTTAGTATGTTCGAACAAATTTTGGGGTATCCTTTCTTTCGCCCCAAATCCGCCTGTAGGGGGACACGCCCGAGCTAAAAGTTGGAGGAGGAGGAGGAGGAGGAGGAGAAGGAAGGTATTCCCAGAGCATGTTCTGGACAACACGGCGGACGGCACGCAAGAGACACACCATTGATACGAGCAAGGCGCAGCTCGGCGCTCGTCCTCCACCCTTCCGCAGCAGCAGGAGCAGGGGGAGATAGATGAGAAGGAGGGAGGCGCTGCGAGGAGGGGGATGAGGGGGGTTGGGACGGGGTGGACGGCGACGACAGTCCAGAAAGAGCGACACCATGGCAGCGTCACGGTCTGGGGCCGTGGAAGCTAGGGGTGGGGAGGACGCCTCTCCGGTTGATGCAGCAAGGACTCCGTGCGCACTCCCAGATCAGAGATGGTGACAGCAATCAGAGAGAAGGGAGGAGCTGTTCGGCGATTTACCTTACTCCCTGCTGACGCTTTTCGAGGCCAGGAGCGCACATCAGTAGATGTGCCGTCGCTTCTCTCGAAAGCACTGCCCTTCTTCTGCGCGCTGCGTCCTATCCATTGTACACTATTGCTCGCCTTGCCGATTTACCATGTTCTTCAAGAGTGGTGCACTGGAGGACGAGGAAACTGTTTGGAGGATGTAGCATTAGCGGCAGGGCCTGCAAGGTAGAACGACGTCAAAACAGCTGACGACGCAGGGGGAATGAGGAATATTCATAGGATGGGTTGAGGCGTGCCCAGGACATGTGGCGCTCGCTACAGCTAATGCCGCTTCATGCCTGCGGCGTTGTGATCTTTCGTCCGAAATGTGACCCCTGGGTCTCCCGACCCCTTCCCTGTGGCAGGGTGTTCGTCCTGGGCAATTTTTGGACGGTCCTGGACCTCCGCCTTGCTCCTTGTCTTTTTGTTTCGAGACGTCGGGGGTCTGTGATCAGTCAACCCGTATAATAAGAATGGGCAACCTTCCCAAGGGTGCTGTTGCGTCCTTGCCTCCTCGGCCCATCCTCCGCCATTTTCGTTGGCCGCGCCCCGCTCGAAAAGCTTCGAAATGGGCGTCCAAGCCCTTGCATCTTTATCGCGCATGGAGGGTTTCTCCGAAGGGCTTAGGCGACCCGTCCTCGTCCTCCTCGCCCTCCCCTCCTCGAGTCGCCTACGGCCCCAGGGGAAGCCGTCCAATCGCGCATGTTTATGATACGGGCCGGCTGCTTGGCGGGCGCGGCAGCCGGAGCCGCCGCTGCCGCCGACCTGCGGAGGCGATCACCGGAGGGCGCGACTGGCACGAGGTGGTGCCCGTCCTGCTGGCGCGCCCTGCGCAGCCTGTCGCCAGCGCCCTTCGCGCGGCACTGGAGGGAGGGGGGAGGGTGGTTTCTCCGAAGGGCTTAGGCGACCCGTCCTCCTCCCTCCTCGTCCTCCTCCTTTTCCTCGTCCTCCTCCTCCTCCTCCTCCTCCTTTTCCGCCTCCCCCTCCCCCTCCTCCATCTCCTCCTCCTCCTCCCCCTCCTCCATCTCCTCCTCCTCCTCCTCCTCCTCCTCCTCCTCCTCCTCCTCCTCGGGTCGCCTACTGCCCCAGGGGAAACCGTGCAGGGGAGGGGGCGCGCGGGCCCCGTGGAGGTTCCTGGGCCTGCGCCGTCACGACTCCCGGGGTGTCCAGGACAGGCCTGCTGGGGCCGGCGGGGCGTCTGGGGCGCCCTCGTGGTGGCCTCGGCGGGGTCTGGGTCTCGAGATTCTGGCCGTAACGCACCCCGCAACAACAGCAACAACAACAACAACAACAACGACACCGACAACGACAACGACAACGACAACGACAACGACAACGACAACGACAACGACGACAACGACAACGACGACGACGACGACGACGACGACGACGACGACGACGACGACAACAACAACGACGACATCAACAACGCCAGCAGCAACAACAACAGCAACGACAACAACAGCAACGACAACGCCAACACCAACACCACCAACAACAACAAGCATTATTAGCAATACGAGTAATACGAATACTAGTAATAATAATTTTGACATTGTTAAGAACAACAACAGCCACAACCACAACAACAATAACCAACCAACGCACCCCCCAAGAAATCTTCTGCGAGGTGGAATAATTCTAAATATGGGGGCCCGACCGTTTGCGTCAGGACCAAAGCGTGACGAGACTTTGTTGCTCCCAGCAATTATTGACGCTTCGCGTGTCCCCACCAGCCCATCCAGAAGCGATGTCCAGGCAAGTTGAAGAGATCAGGGAAGTGGGGGAGCAACGAGAGGGACAGCCGATCCGTGTAAAGGATGAGGCGGAAGAGGAGGCCAGATGGATAGATGAGGGGGTGGCGAGGAACCGAGCGAAGGAGGGATGAGGAGAATGATGACGCTGGGTGGATGGTTGAATGCCGCTCGGCTGCCTCTTGGAAGCCTTTTGGAAGCCTCTTCGGGCGTCTTGGGGGTCTCTTGGCGGTCAATGGGGGCTCTTGGGCGTCTTGGGTGCTTCGGGGGGGCCTCTTGAGGCCGCTTGGGATCCTCTTGGGGGGCTCTTGGGGGCCTGTTGGAGGCCTCTTGGGGCCTCGTGGGGTCTCTTGGAGCTTCATGGCGGTCTCTTGGAGCCTCTTGGAGGCCTCTTGGAACCATCCTGGGAGCCTCTTGGAGCCTCTTGGGGGCTTCTTGGGGCCTCATGGCGGCCTCTTGGGGCCTCTGGGAGGCCTTTTGGAAGCCTCTTGGGGCCTCCTGGGCGCCTCTTGGGGCCATCTTGGAGGAGATCGATCAAAGAAGAGGGTGGGGTTAATTAGCCCTGCCCCCCCAAGAGGCCAACATGGGGCCAAAACCTTAGTAAAACCGATGATTTTGGCTTCCTCGCCGAGGCCGTTTTGGACGCTCCAACTACCAGCGAAACCCCCCGTCCAGGTCCAGGGGAGGGGGTTAGGGGGAGGGGTAAATCCCTCCCCGAAGGGGAAGTGGAAGATGGAAGAGGAAATCCCCAGAACCACCTACGCCCAGAGGGCTGGTGGGATTACCTGTCCTCCATGGGGCCTGTCAGCCAACGGTCGAGGACGAACACTTTGCCATGGGGAGGGGGGTCAAGAGGTCCGTGGTCCGGGGGATCCAGGCCAGTGAGTCGCTGGAGGTCTGGGCACTTTGGAGATCTGTGCTGGAAGGGGCTACTTGTTCCCAACGGTCCTGTGTTGTTGGGTCATCGCCTTGAATATGCAGCTCCTCACGTTTCCTTCCTTCTTGTCCCTCCTCCTCCCCGCACCTATTTCGGCACGCCCCTCCGTGCACCCAAAGGGAGCTTCGCCTTCGGCCCCACCGGGCGCGCCCGCATGCCGCACCACGCCAATTTCCGCGCACACACACACACCTCAAAGGTTTCGTCCCGCCATGGGGTGAGGGAGTCCTGCAAGTTGGGCGCCCGGGAGGTCCCCACAATCTGGGCGCGAACGGGTCCGTGTCAGACCTCTTGACGGCCCCCCATGGGGAGGCGCAAGTGCCATGCCTGCTACATCGTGGCGACCATGGGGCTCCGAGACGAGACTTGCGAGCTGTGTCAGGGCAGGCGTTTTGTTTCTGGCGTCCCCGCGGTGTGCAAGCGAACGGGCCCGTAACACGTCCCCAATAGACATCCCAATGGGTGGGCCGAACGCTGATACATTGCGGTGGTCATGGGGCTCTGATACAGTCGGGGCCCTGAAGAAGGAACCCTTTTGGTTGGGGAGGGGCTCCGCGTTCCTTACGTGTTTCACAGCTTGCCTCAGGTGTTCCTTCTGTTTTCGATGGGAAGTCGAAGTTCAACTTATGGAAAGAAGTGGCCTCGTTCCTTATTTAGGGTTCCTTAGGTCAACGCCCCGACTGTAAGGGACTCGTCTACTGTGCCGAAAAGGTGGTCTGAGAAGGCCTGCAATATGGGCGCGAACTGGCCCGTGAAATACCGCTGGTCGACAAACCCTTGGGGAGCTCAATTGTCATACCATACCTGCTACATCGCGGTGGTCATGGGACTCGGAGAAGGGCCGTTTCCTGTGTTGGGCAAAAAAAGACGTTCGCTCGAGAGGTCCCCACGGTTTGGGTGCGAACGGGCCAGGGATACACCTCGGGTCGACACCCCAGGGGGTGCCTCGAACGCGACGCGTGCTACATCGCGGTGGCCATGCGGCTCTGAGAAAAGACTCGCCAGCCTGGCCAGACGGGCGTTTCACCTGCCAGGCCCCCCACACATTTGAGCGCGAACGGGCAAGTGGAACACCCGTGGACGCCCTCTTGTGTGTCTGAATCGCCACACGAGCATCGCGGTGGTCACGTGGCTCTGCCAAGAGACCAGTCTACCGTTTCGAAATGTTCGTTTCGCCTGCGCGGCCCCCAGAATCGGAGTGCGAACGGGCCTGTGAGCACACAATTGGCTCACACGTCCGTGGGCGGTTAAAAAGCACTCCTGAAAGATCACGGTGATCATTGGGCTCCGCGAACAGACTCGTCAACCTGGCCAAAGCAGAAGTTTCGCTTCAGAGGTCCCCGCAACCTGGGAAACACTCCTGGTGGACACCGCCTCGGGTGGTTCAGATGCAATGCCTGCTACACCGCGGTGATTACGAGGCTAATTATGCGATAGGTCGCTGACTGACCCCAACTTCCGAGAAAAAAAGCAAACACGCAGTTTGCTCGAGACGTCCCCGCAGTCTGAGTCCGAACAGGCCCGAGGAAGCACCCTTGGGCAACACCCCCTCAGGCGGCTCAAACACAATGCCCTCTGCATCGCAATGACCTTGGGGCTCTGATGGGGGTTCCGCGGCTTGGGGCCGCACAGGAGCTCCGCCCGAGAAGCTTCCGCAGCCCGAGCGCGACCAGCTCATAGAACCTAGGGGTGCTCGTTGACACGCTTGGACTTCCCTGGCCCCAGAAGACGCGCGGCTCCCTGCCCTGGCCTTGCATCTGCTTGCCCCTCCCCATTTCTTGCCCTTCGGGCGCTCAGGCCTTCTCTGGGCCGAGCCGGGGCGCGGCCTCGGGCGGCCCAGAGGGTTGGGCGCCCGGAGGCCCTTGGCGCCCTCAGGTGGCCTGGCGGCAATGACGTCTACCCGTGGCCGTGAGAGAGGAAGAGAGGCAACGGCCTGGCCCGCCTGGCCTGAGAGAGGCCCAGCCTGAGGTGGCTCGCTCGCTCGCTCGCTTCCCCCCTGCCGCCCCCGCCCGCCCGACCCTCTCGTTTGGGGGTGCGGATCAGCTCGGGGCTGCGGATCAGCCCCGCGGGCTCTTTTCACTCGGCCCGTGATGCCACGACACGCCTGCGAACTCGCAGGGACAGCATCGCAACGTCTGGATGCTGCGACGTGAAAAAACATGTGGGGGGAATATCACCATGGGCAGCATATGACCCGATCGCCATGTGTGCGAATGGACCTGTGCGTGTGAGCGGACTGAGCATGATTGAGCTTGAGTGCGAGGGAGTCCTGATATGAGCGAGTCTGGGCATGTGCCGTGGGCCATGAGTGCAAGTAAGTCTGAGCATGAGTTAGTTGGAGTGCGAGTGGGTCTGAGTCTGAGCGGCCTGCGTATGAGTGAATGGATGGATTGTCCTTCGGCCCATCCCGCCACCGTGCCTGCATTGTGGGTCAGAGTCCTCAGGGATGCCTCTTGGGGTATCTTCGGAGCGCTCTATGGGGGCTCTTGTGGGCGGTGTGGGGGCATCTTGCGGGCCTCTTTGGGGCCCCTTGGGAGCTCGGGGGCCTCTTGGCGCCTCCTGGGGCCCCTTGGAGGGCCTCTCGGACCGCCTTGGGGGCCTCTCGGGGCCGAGGGCCGGGGCCCTCACCTGGGCCCTCTCTTGGAGCCGTCCTGGGTGCCTCTTGGGCTGCCTTGGAGGCCTGTCGGGCCGCCTTCGGGCCCTCTGGGGCGGTCTTGGGGCCCTCTTGGAGGCCTCTCGGGCCGTCTTGGGGCAGTCTTGGACGCTTTGGGGGCCGTCTTGGAGCGTCGGGAAGCAGAAAAGGCGAGAACGCCCAAGTCCGTCAAAGCCCTGAGGGAAATCAATTGTGCATGCCTCTTTGGGGCCTTGTGGGAGGCCTCGTGGCACTTCTTGGAGGCTTCTTGGGCCGTCTTGGGCCCAAGAGCGATCTTTCGGCGACTCGGGGCCCTGGGGCCGTCTCGAGGGCCTCTTGGGGCCCTCTGGGCCCGCCTTGGGGGGCCCCCTTGATCTCGAAAGCTCACGCGACAACGCTTCCCTGAGCCCAGGAGGCACGCGCCAAAGCCCGTGCCCCTAAGAAACTCTTCAGGAATGAGGACTGAGGCTCAGGGGATTCGGCAAAGGACCTGAGGGCACGCCCACTCCGTGCCCAGCGGCACGGTGTCGGATCTGAATTTGAGTCAGAGGCAGAGAGGCGGGCGAGTTTACGTAGAGGCGGTGACGTGGCACTAAGAACCAACTCCATAAGGAGGATGCTGAGAAAAAGCTGGACGACTGGTTTTTCAAGGACTTCGGCCTCCGGATGCCGCTGCTGGGCCCGAGAACCTGCGAAACATGGTTCGGAACGAAAAATGGTTTTGCCGAAAGGGCCCGTCGAGAGGTCCAAGGGCTGGCGACTCAGGAAACCAAATCGCTGGAGGTCTGGGAGACCGCTGGGGCGCACCACGCTCCACAGTGGGCGGCTTGAAGAAGGAACGCTTACTTTTCCAAAGGGGCTCGGTCGTTCCATTCATCGCTCCTGAGGCATTCTGTCTTATGTATCGCTCCTTGTGCGTCCTTCCCTGGAGAACAGGGGCTGCGTCCCTGATTGATCGTGCCTTGGGTCAGGCCGATGACTCCAGTGCTTCCTGGGGTGGATCTCTGTACTCGGGCGCGTCGGGCTCTCGTGGGGCAGCTTTGTTGGGCCGGGGGCACCCACGGAGGCCCCTTGGACACGGGGGGGAGGCCGTCGGAAGCGGTTTTGAGAAGGGAGCGCCCGGTCTCCGTTCTGCTGGGGGTAGCGCCCAATGAGAGGGAAGCGCCCAATGCTTTGGGGTGCCCAATGCTTCGTCGGAAGCGGTTTTGAGAGGGAAGCGCCCAATGCTTCGGGGTGCCGCCTGCTGCTCCGGGTAAGAGTCGGGGGTGGACGGACCTCCTGCCCTGACACGTCGATTCGTGAATTGTCCGTCTGCGGTTCTCGAGAGAGAGCGCCGCGGTCGTCGTTTTCCAGGCCTGCGCCCGCCAGGTTTGGGCCCGAGGTCGTTTTCGCCGAACCACGTTTTACAAAAGGGAGGTCTGTCCATCCCCGAAAAGGGCGGCTGTTCGGGACCTTCCAGATGCCGCTTGAGGAATGGCTGGGGGCACGCGCACGACGCGTAGTTGGCGGGCAATCACGGCAGGGCTCTCAGGGCCGCCGCCCCGACCTGGGGGAGATCTCTTGGCACTGACTTGGTTCATTGGGAAGAACTTCTCCATTCAGTGCCGTTTTTAATGCATGCTCCGCGTGCGGATCATGTATTGAAAAACGCATGGATTTAGAATTAAAAGCAACGATGAGCTCATGCATAAATTCATACATACATCGGTCATGTATTTAAAATCGTATATGAAAACATCCTCTGTATTAGAATTGCCCTGTTCTCTGTCAAGTGGGCCTGCCTGCTGGGGGCACCCGCCTCGCACAAAAACGCGTGCCACGCGCCGCGCGCACGACGGCCAGCACATGCCGCCCAGCGACGGGTTTAACAAAAAGTTGAAAAAAAGGCCGCTCAGCGACTGGTGGCTCCCCTGTTCCGGCCTGCCACGCTGCGCGAAGCAACACCGAGGAAGCCAGGGCACACGAGCGACTGCCTGCCGCCCTCTTCCTCCTCCTCTCTCTATCTCCCCCTCCTCCTCCTCCTCCTCCTCCTCCTCCTCCTCTCCTCCTCCTCCTCCTCCCCTCCCCCTCCTCCTCCTCCTCCTCCCCCTCCTCGTCCTCCTCCTCCTCCTCCTCCTCCTCCTCCTCCTTACATTCAATGTTCGAGGTGACCCCCTAAGTCTGGAGTCCAGTTGCTCTAGTCGAGACTCTGAGAGCTGGGCTCTGAGGTTTTCGTCGCGATTCGCTCATCAGAGAGTGAGGGGGGCGAACGGTCATTCATTGTCCCTGGGTGCGTGGCTGAAGTGGGGATCCGTGGTGAGGATTCTGCTTGTTGCGTTGTTGTTGTTGTTTGTTTGTTGTCGTCGTCCCGCCCCCCCGACCCACTTGCGACCCACCCCGCGACCCACCCCGCGACCCACCCCGCGACCCACCCGCGACCCATCCGCGACCCACCCGCGACATATTTGCGACCCACCCGCGACCTACCCACGTTGGCTTAGCGAACAAATCGGCGATTGCGGCGGGCTTCTCCAGAGCCTCGCAAACTGCCGACGTCCCGCCCCAAGGCAACCAAACATGCTTCATTGTGGCTGGCAACCAAGGCATCGCTCAGGCCTAGACAGGTTCACCAGGCAGTCGTGGGCTGAGAAGGCCTTCTGTGCATCGCAGCAGAATTCTGCAGGCATCGAAGATGTCGCCAGAGTTGCGACTCGTAGTCTTGGCTCTTCTCGGAAAGCAGGGACAACACCGCGGCCGATGCAATACATCGGCAGGTTGTGCGTGCATCGCTTGAAACGCGGCGGATTATGTTGTTCACACAAGCGACGGTTTTGCGGAGTGGATCACAGGCCTTACGGTACCGACCGACAGGGAACCACCAGGAGCAGTTGACAGCAGGGGGGGAGACAGAGGGTGGTGCTTCAGGACCCTAGGTATGGCTCCGCTCCGCCCACGGACGCCACCCTACCCTGACGTACCCCACCGTGCCAAAGCCTCGAATGGTCGTTCCTGAGATGCCCGCACTGGTGTGCGCACGAGTTGCCCTCACGGTTTGTCCGTGCACGCGCGCTGGGCGAGGAGGCCGCTCGCTCTCCTCGGCCGCCACCCCACACCCGCCCCGAAGGCAATCCACCCGACCTACGTCATTGTGTTCATCACCTACATCTTCTTCATGGCGCGCAATCGCCGCCGCTTCCTCCTTGACCACGATGCCCGACACGAGTCAATCGCCCCCTGTCGTCCAGGAGTTGCGCGGCATACAGGGGCATGTGTGCTTTTGCAGAGCAGAGGCGAGAAGCGCGGGTGATCGATGAAAGATTGTCATGAAGCCTCGGAGGCACAGAGCACATGCCGCTGGCATTCCCACGAACAGGCGTACGGATATGGCCCGTCGTCTTACATAATGTTGGTCGATCACGCGGTCGTCGAGCACAGATCACAGTGGTCGGCTGACCACGTGATCGTGCAAGTGGTTGGCTTGTGAGTGGCTCGTAGTACGTGTGACCAGTGCTGCAATCGGCAGTGTGACTGGAGGCGGAATTTCGTCATGTGATCGGGTAGCGTGGTCGACCCAGCGATCGGCCAGACACGAAGTTCGCGACATCTGACAGCCCCGCCGTGCCGTTCCGCCATAGCGGTCAGCATGCTGGGTGCTCTGCATACCTTCCACGCACGGCCCAATGCCAGTGCAAGCATAGACCATTTTTCCAGCGCGCATCGAGAAGCCTCTGGCATGTTGCCAGTGAACGGCCTTGAGGAACCTGGAGACGTCTCGGCTTCGTTTGGAAAATGAGCATGGCGATGGGATCGTATCACCCTTGCCACCCGAGCGCTGCAGTGTGCTGTGTGCAGGATCCGAGCCAGACGATTCTGCATCGATGGGCAAGGGACCACGCTGAGAAAGTCGCAAGGTGCTGCGACTCTCATCGTCGTTACCGCCGCGTGAGTTCAGCCTTCGCATTTTGTTCGCTCATCTGCTCTGACCCCAGATGATGTCGAGGCATCGTGGGCGCCAGTGCCAAGCAGATGAGGCATCACGGCAAGTCGTGGTTTAGCGTGGGCGTTTCGCATCCGACCGTAGGGCCGCGCCATCTGTGACCAGCCCTGAGGTGAGTCCAGCAGGTGTTGTACATTGCACACGTTCAATGTTACATGTTATTCCCTACCTAGGCTCTGCCTAGAAGGGTTCTTACTCTCTTTGCGTAAAGGGGCCGGGCAGTGGAACGCGCCCCGGGCGGTTCCCCCAGGATCCGCCCCGCGGTTCCCCCAGTTACGTCCCCTTAGCTTAGCGTTGCGTATCTCATCTTAGTTTAGCTTATTTCATCATAACTTAGCTTACCTTCATCTTAGCGTCGCTGAGCTTTAGCATAGCAGAGTACAGCATAGCGTAGCATAGCATAGCGCAGCACAGCATATCATAGCATAGCCCAGCATAGCATAGCATAACGCAGCATAGCTTAGCACAGCATAGCGCAGCACAGCACAGCACAGCATAGCACAGCGCAGCATAGCATAGCATACCATCGCATAGCATAACTTAGCATAGCACAGCGCAGCATGACATAGCATAGCTTAGCATAACATAGCATATCATAGTATAGCGCAGCATAGTGCAGCATAACATATCATAGCATAGCATAGCATAGCATAGCATAGCATAGCGCAGCATAGCATGGCATAGCATAGCATAGCATAGCATGGCAACTAATGCTGCTTTCCTAGGGGCTCCAACTTCTACGTAGGGTCGCACTGGGGTAATGTGTAAATGCATCGTGTTTCTCGCGCTGCCTAGGGCTGCAAAGTCAGCAATCAGCCACTTTCCGCTGCCTCGCATATCCTCTGCGCCCGAGGAATAGCGTAGCACCCTGCAGAATTGCGTGGCTGAAGCGTTGAATGGTTGTTGCGTTGCAACTTGTAGTGTCATTGAGACATCTTGGAGCCTCTTTCGGACCTCTTGGGAGCCTCCTGGTGGCCTGTTGGGGATATTGGGGCTGCCTTGAGAGGTCCTGGGGCCGTGGGTACATGTTTTGATGGGGGCATGCTGGAGGGTCGTAGGACGGTCATGGGGAATGTGGCTCCGTCTCCGGTCGGTCTTGAGCCTCGCTGGAGCTGGAAATTGAGTCTGCCCTGGTCAGTAGTTGGGCCACCTTGGAGTCTTCATGAGCTGTCCAGGGGTCAACGTGGGGCTCGCACGGGGGCCGTCTCTCCTGGACTTCTGTTGAGACGGCTGCGGCGGCCTGAGAGCCGCCAAGGGGACCATCGGAGGCACTCTGGGGCTCTCCAGGGAGGCAAGGCGTTGGGCTCTTTCCCCACATGTTTCGTCGGGTTCTGGTTTTCTTCCCAGCCGCGTCGCATCCGCTTTGTCGTCGTCGTCGTCGTGAAGAGAGTCGTGGTAGTCCTGGTAGGGATAGCGGTGGTGGCGGCGGTAGGTGGTAGGGTGGTGCTGACAGGACATAAAGTAGAGTATGTGGGGCTCCTCGGCAGCGCAATTGTTCTTGGCATCCCATGCAGATCTGTTGGGGTCCCGCCCGGGGCGTCCGGAAGAAAGTGGAGACGTCGTGCCGTCGGAGGGGGACCTTCGGGCCATCTTGAGGCATCCCGTGTCCGCGCGGGGAGGGTCCGGAGCGCCCCCAATCGGGCAATCCTTGGATCTTGGGCCGCCCAGGGGCGCCGGCGGCATGTCTGCAGCCGTCTCGGGGCCACTCGGGGTCTGTCGTGGGGCCCTGGACTGCGGGAGAAGCTCATTCGGCGGCGAGCGAGAGGCGGAAGTGAGCAGGGGTGGGCCTTCTCAGAAGGCTCGGAAGTCCCCCGGTCTTCTGAGAAGTTTGCTAAGCCTCCCCCGAAGACACAGAAAACTTCTCAGAAGGCGCGAGGGCTTCTGAGAAGTCCCGCCGCCTTCTGGGAAGGCCTTTTCCTTCTCACTTCCCCCCTCGCTCGCCGCCGACCCATGGCGGGCCCCTTCCTGAGGCAGGGTAAAAATGGTGATCCTCCAGCTGGAGGACCGAACGCCGAGACGTACAACCAGAACGAATGCCTCGTCACATCCGCTGCGCAAGGGGAGCCTAACTATTCATACCTCTGGCGACTCGATGTTCTTGAGTCGCTGGCCCCTGGAGTTCTCGATCCGCTTACAGCATATACCGGCCTTTACGGGCAGATTTTGTATTCATGGAGCGTTGGCCGAAACATCGATCGGCTTCACCGTACAGGCCGTTCGTTGACAGTGGATAATCTGGGGCTCCCCAGATCCCAATCCATTTTGAGCGCATTGCTTCTTCAAGATTTTGAGCGCCTTATTCTGTTTCGGTGGCGGGCCGAAGCCTGATGCATCTTCACCGCCTGATCTGTGCTACCAGCTTTTTCCGAATGACCTTTATTGGAATACCGTGCCACCGAGGATTAAAGAACCCCTAACCCTCATAACAGAGTGAAGACGTGGCCTCACTCAATTAGGTCCGCGTCTTCGCACTAGGGGCAATACATCTGGGCGGTCTTGTCCGACACCTCTTCATCCAAAGTCCCCTACCCCTCATGTTCCTGGCTCTCCGAACTTGGGTCCTCTCCCAAAGGGTCAGGCGTACTTCTAGTGCTTCTCACCGTGGTCGGCGCTCTGGGGGATCGCGCGGTTCTCGGTCGGCTCCGGGGCCGTGGAGGGGCCCCCGACCGCTCGCCTCTTCCTCTTCCTCCTCCTCCTCCTCCTCCTCCTCCTCCTCCTTCTCCTTCCGAGGCGTGGGCTCCTCCTCCTCCTCCTCTCCTTCTCTGTGCAAGTCCGGCTGCGCCCTGTTCTGACTGGGCTCGAAGATGCCACAAGAAACAGGAAAGGGCCCCCGACCCTCGCGGCTCTGCGCCCTCCGCCTCCCCGCACGCCGCCCCTCCGAGAGCCGCCCGCCCGGCGAGCCGTGCGCTGCCGAAGAGCGGGCCCCTTTGACCCCGTGCTGGGCCGGCCGCTCCAGCACGGGCAGCCTCCTCCCACCCTGACGAACGAACAACACACACTAAAACGACGCGAAGATCGGGACAAAATCGGATCGGGATAATTCGAAATCTCTGAGAATCGGCGGGTTTGGAGGATGTATTGGGCGCCGCGGCCGTTCCAGAGCGTTCCGGAACGCTCTGAGAGCGCTCCGGAACGCTCTGGAGCGATTTATCCCGATCCTAGCCCTGTTTTACACACACACACACACCCATACCCCTAGGGGGGTCGTTGGGAGGAGGACTGGATGTGGGTACTCCGGATTTCGTAAGAAAGGGAGGGGGGTCTCACTTCCTGGTTCGGGGGGGGTCTCCTCCAGGCTATCCTGGAGGGCCTGGGGGGTCTGGGGACGACGGGGGAGGTCTGAAATGGCTTGTCTTGGAGGGTCCAGACCCCCTCCCTTTCATTACGAAATCTGGAGTATGGGTGCGGGTTGTCGGACCCTGGGGAACGCTCCCGTTCGAGCGGGGACCCCCATCCGACAACACGCACCCATAGCCCTCTCCGATCCCCCTATGGGTATGGGTGTGTGTTGTTTGTTGGTTCGTCACCCCCTGCGCCACGCAGCGAGATTCCGCCACAAAAAAGATAGATACGTAGCACCCCGCAGATGCGGATAAGAGTGGAGGGGGCGGCGGGGACGTCAGCAGTCTGCGAGGCTCTGGAGAAGCCCGCCGCAGGCGCCGATTTCTTCGTTAAACCACTGTGGGTAGGTCGCGTGGGTCGGGTCGCGGGGTGGGTCGCGGGTGGGTCGCAAGTGGGTCGCGGATGGGTCGCGGGGTGGGTCGCGGATGGGTTGCAGGGTGGGTCGCGGTGTGGGCCGCAAGTGGGTCGCAAGTGGGTCGCGGGGTGGGTCGCGGATGGGTTGCAGGGTGGGTCGCGGGGTGGGTCGCAAGTGGGTCGCAAGTGGGTCGCGGGGTGGGTCGCGGATGGGTCGCGGGATGGGTCGCGGGGTGGGTCGCAGGGTGGGTCGCGGGGGCGGTCGCGGTGTGGGTCGCGGGGTGGGTCGCGGGGGCGGTCGCGGGGGCAGTCGCGGGGTGGGTCGCGGGGTGGCTCGGGGGGGGGCGGTCGCGGGGGCGGTCGCGGGGGCGGTCGCGGGTGGGTCGCGGGCGGGACGACGACAACAAACAAACAACAACAACGCAACAAGCAGAATCCTCACCACGGATCCCCATGTCAGCCACGCACCCAGGGACAATGAATGACCATTCGGCCACCTCACTCTGACACAGACACCCTCCACTGGATTGTTCCTGGGCCCCATGGGGAGGGTGGCGGTGTATGGATTACCACTGGGAGCCAGCGATTTTCTACACGGGGAGGTACATGCAAAATTCGTCGGAGAGCGTCTGTGTATAGATGTTCGCGTAGAGGTATTCTCCCGTGCTCTCGGTCCGATTCGCTCCTCGACCTGCCCTCATCCTCGGCGTCCCCAGGCTCCGTGGCCGAGCCCCGACGCCCAGTCCTCCCGGGAGGCTGGATGTGCACGGCGCGGCCAGCTCGCGCGAGGGCCAGATGCGCACGTGACCGCATGTCTCTCCAGCGCTCGATCCCCTGTCGCTGGGTAATGGAGGATGACGATTAATGACCGGAGGTCGTGTTCACGCGGCGGCGCCCGGGATGACGATTAGAAAAAACCGGCCGCGGGCTGGAAAACTATTTTTAAGCGTTCTCCTCCAGTCAGAAAATTGTGCAGAAATAGGAGAAAATTATGTTCTAATCGTTCTCTCCCGTTTTTTTTTTTAAACGTCATCCCGCATTACGCTCGCCATCCGCATGTGTGTCCAGCGCGTGGCCTCCGCGGGTTCCACACAGGACTCCAGCCGTGTGTGTCTGTGTGTGTGTTGGCCCGTCCGCCCCGGAGCGGCCTCCTCTCGCCCTCCCCCCCCCCACCCCCCCCCGCGGCCGCCCCGTGTGTCTTTCCCCCGCTCCTGCGCGCTGGCCACTCCGCCTCTCGGTGCCCCCGTTTAGCTTCAGCGCTGGTGCAGCCACCTCTGCCTCGCCGCCGAGGGGAAAAGCGTGTGTGTGTGTGTGTCTTCCGGGCCTACCCTCCTTCCTGCCCGTGCCGGGCTGCCCGCTCCTTCTCTTGCATTGCGGCTTAATTTCAATGCGTATGCCTCAAGCATGCCCTATCCGCCAGCGCAGTCACTCCGCCTATCCGCCGACGAAAATTGTGCGTGTGTGTATGTGTGTATGCATGTGTGCGCGTGCGTGTGTGGGTGCGTGTGTGTGTGTGTGTGTGTGTTGTGTGTGTGTTGTGTGTGTGTTTTGTGTGTTGTGTGTGTTGTGTATGTTGTGTGTGATGTGTGTGTTGTGTGTTGTATAGTGTGTGTGGTATGTGTGTTGTGTGTTGTGTGTTGTGTGTGTTGTGTGTGTTGTGTGTGTGTGTTGTGTGTTGTGCGTTGTGTGTTGTGCGTTGTGTGTGTGTGTTGGGTGATGTTGTGTTGTGTGTGGTGTGTGTGTTGTGTGTTGTGTGTGTGTGTGCTGTGTGTTGTGTGTTGTGTTGTGTGTGGTGTGTGGTGTGTGTTATGTGTGTGTGTTGTGAGTTGTGTGTTATGTGTGGTGTGTGTTGTGTGTGTTGTGTGTGTGTTGTGGGTTGTATGTGTTGTGTGTGTTGTGTGTGTTGTGTGTATTGTGTGTTGTGTGTTTGTGTTGTGTGTTGTGTGTTTAGTGTGCTGTGTGTTGTGTTGTGTGTTGTGTGTGGTGTGTGTTGTGTGTTGTGTTGTGTATATGCGTTGTGTGTGTTGTGTGTTCTGTGTGTGTTGTGAGTTGTGCGTTGTGTGTGGTGTGTGTTGTATGTGTGTGTGGTCTGTGTGTTGTGTGTGTTGTATGGGTTGTGTGTTGTGTGGTGTGTGTTGTGTGTGTGTGTTGTGTGTTGTGTGTTGTGTGGGTTGTGTGTTGTGTGTTGTGTGTTTTGTGTGGTGTGTGCTGTGTGTGTTGTGTGTTGTGTCTGTTGTGTGTGTGTTGTGTGTTGTGTGTTGTGTATTGTGTGTGTTTTATGGTGAGTGTTGTGTGTTGTGTTTGGTGTGTGTGTGTGTGCTGTGTGTGTTGTGTGTTGTGTGTGTTGTTTGTTGTGTGTTGTGTGTGTGTTGTGTGGTGTGTGTGGTGTGTGTGTGTGTGTTGTGTGTTGTGTATTGTGTGTTGTGTGTGGTGTGTGGTGTGTGGTGTGTGTGTTATTTGTGTTGTGCGTGTGGTGTGTTGTGTGTGTGTGTTGTGTTTGTTGTGTGTTGTGTGAGTTGTGTGTGCTGTGTGTGTTGTGTGTGTTGTATGCGTCTTGTGTAGTGTGTGTGTGTGTGAGCTGTGTGTGTTTTGTGTTGTGTGTATGTGTTGTGTGTGCTGTGTGTTGTGTGTTGTGTTGTGTGGTGTGTCTTGTGTGTGATGTGTGTGTGTGGTGTGTGTGGTGTGTGTGGTGTGTGTTCTGTGTTGTGTGTGTTGTGTGGTATGTGAGTCGTGTGGTATGTGTGTTGTGTGTGTTGTGTGGTGTGTGTGTGTTGTGTGTGGT